GTAGCCTTTTAAAATTGGATGGAGGAGTTGTTCATAGCCCGTATATAATTTTGATGGAGGAGCTCATCATAAAGGGATTTCTCTAGAACCCACCCCACATGGAGTCCCTGCACTTTTCCATCTCTAAAATAGCAACATATATTTATAATCATAAGTGCAAATGAGCAAAGTAGTATGATTATGATATATAAAAAATGAGATGGCAAAATGATATTATGAATGCAAAAACAAGTGCAGAATGAATGGAAAAATGTGGAATGAATGTAAAGAATGTGGAAAGCAATTAATAATAAATTTTATTAAGATTGGACCAAGCTTGGACCAAAGTTCTAATTTGCTGCGGAGCTCAATTCTGTCTTGACAACCTGTATCACAAGGACTTGAAAAGAGGAGAAATTAAAGCATCCAGTCTTATAATCAAGAAAATATATTGTGTAAAATAAATAAGAGAAAAAGATTGTGAGTTCATCTTTTTTAATTTTTAAAGCAATACATGACTAATGAATTAAATTTATATACATATTAATGTAGAATCTATGCTTTGATATTATTGATATTTGAATGAGTTGTATGAAAATTTATGTAATTGTATATAACATTCATTCTATGTAGAAAAGGATTTAATTAGAAGAGGTCATAATTTTTAGGAATAAATTGCAAAGATATGAAATTTGAGGATTAAATTATGCAGAATCCAAAAGTAAGGGGTCGAGACTGTAATTTTACCGTTAACAAAATTTGCAGAGAAGGACAAAAACCCGACACGGACTCTTCAGGACAAATGCAGGAAAAGTGTCGGCACCTTGTTGAGGGTGTTGACACCTTGCAGCTCGTGCTGCATTTCTTTCAACTCATGCTCGTCCTCTGCACCTCGTGTTCAAGTTCTGCACTTCATGCTCGGCCTCTGCAGCTCGTGGCTGACCTTGGCAGTAAGTGTTTGACCTCTGTAGCTTGTGCTTGAGCTATGTAGCTTGTGTTTGAACTTTGTAGCTCATTCTCAACCCCTGCACTTCGTGCTCAACCTCTGCAGCTTGTGTTTGAGCTCGGTAGCTCGTGCTTTTGAACTCAGCAGCTCGCAGCTCATGTTCTTGCAGTTCGCTTCTCATGCTCCTGCAATTCCCAGCTCGTTATTGTTAAATTTCCACGGGATAATAACTCCAAATGGCTTGCTCGTTACAGCTTGTTATTCACAGCTTTATTGGCAAATTTTTCAAGCCTCCGAATGGTTCGGTGATGCTACGTGGGCGGTTGAATGCCTCTGCTCTCAACTGAGCATGAGATGAGACTGTTGGCTTCTCAGCAGCATGTGTTCATGATAGTGGTTGACTGTCATCGCCGAATTGTGGTGTCCAGTCCCCCTAGAGCTTTCATCTAACGCTGCCATCACCTTTCTCTGTCATTGGAACCATAGGCCTTTGTTCCCTAGCAGCTGATTGGAGGGATTTTGCTCTTGGATTCTGCAAGAACAAATTCAAAAAAGGGGAAGATTCCAACTTGTATTACAGTAAAAGAGAATAAAACAACATCAAAAACAAGGTAAAATAATGAAAGATTAGGATTTATCTCCCCAGTAATCGCAGAGCGATAGCCAAGCTCAAATGGTTTATTGCCCAGGGAGAATGGTTGTGGTTGGAAGTTCGGGCTGACCATCATCATATTTTGTTGATTGTCCGTGTCTTCCTCAACGAGCTTCTCTACAAATATGTTTGGTATGTGGTGATGAGCCGGCAGATCACTTTGCTGCCGCCGAGCTGGGGCTGCTTTGTTCCTACCGAGCTGGGAGAATGCTTGTCGCTGCCATCAAGCTCGAGCTCGTCTTGCCTTGTTAAGATTGTTCTGTTTGTGAACTTAGATGCTTGTTGCAAATTCGGGCTGACCATCATCATATTATGTTGATTGCTCGCGTCTTCTTCAACGAGCTTCATTACAAATTTGCTCGGTGCATGCCGCCGAGCTGAGAGACTGCTTTGCTGCTGTCGAGCTGGGTTACTTGGCTGCTGCCGAGCTGGGCTGCCTTGCTTCTGTTGAGCCGGAGTACTGTTGAGGTTTGCCGCTGCCGAGCTGGACTGTTTTGGTGCAGCGAGCTGGGCCGCTTTGTTGCTGCCGTAATTCCCCATTCATCCGAAGTAGTATTTTAGTATAGAACAGAGGCATTCTGGGCCGACTACATGCGCATCTAGTGCAGTGGCTTGGAAGCAAGCTACCTTGACCATCTTCCGAAGTTCTAAATAATCTACTGATCAAAGGCTGTAGGGGCGGACTGCTCTACATTCAGCCACGCCACAGTGACCCCCGAAGCGATCTTCTTCTAGTTGCGGGACGAAATCCGGCAGCCAATTCATTGCTGGCTCTGAATAACCAGCCCAGCAATAAGTTCAATTCTTCCATAACATAACGGGGCGGGGTTGCGCGCGAGCCGAGTGACGTAGGTGCACGTTGCCGAGCTGAACTGCTTTGTTGCTGCTGTGCTTGGCCGCTTTGCTGCTACCGAGCTGGGCT